GGTACATGCACTGAATTGCTTGCAACAGTGGGCCCCTCCCTCCCCAGGCCGGGTGCAGGGTGAGCCCTGGTAACCCTCTTTTTTGAAGAAGAAGAAGATTTTGCAACAGCTTGAAGAGAAAAGGGAAAACTTTGCAGCTGTGTGACATGCAGAGTGCCAGTATACATGTGACAGCTGATGCACCATACAGCTAATCAATAACCAAAGCTTTACTTTACTTAGTAATTCACTAATATCCACACGTGCTGTACAATATGCCACAGAACTGTCAAAAGCAAACTGTGCGTATTGAAGTTTCAGAAATGTTAACAAATAAAGGGTCAAAAGCAGAGCTGAAGATCTGCTTATTGGAAAAGTTTATGCATGTTTGTTTATACAAACAAACCATTGCCGTTAAATTTGAAGTATCTCTGACAAACATGCAGGGCCTGCATTTGTAACATGCTCGGCTCGCTGTAGCATTCGAAATGTGGCATTAGAAATGTACATGTTCATGTACGCTGAGAATCTGAGAGTCTGAAAGCTTCCACATCGTGCGTGTGTGTGTGTGTGTGTGTGTGTGCGTGCGTGCATGTGTGTGTATTATGATGGTGCACAATCAATACTGTCAGCACTGAGGAAATGAATGAGGTTCTGCTTTCCCGTGACCTTACCTGATTCCAGAGCTCAGGCATCCAGCCAGCTGGTGCAGGTGATGGTGGAGGTTCAGCCCAGTTCCCACTAATTAAGGAGCCAGGTGCTGGTAGAGGTGACCTTGTGTTCCTGTTGACTGGATTACATGCAGAGTTCGGGAAGCTGGTTTTCAGCCTTGTCGCACCAGTCCCAGGCCTTCATGCGCTGTGGCTGATCCATTACTTCAAGGTAACAGACACACGCAGGAATACTGGCAGACTAAAAAGTTCATTAGTACAGCTGTGCGTGGTGGCTGTGTATGTGATGCCTGGAGGCATCAGAGCAGAGAGATAAGGCCTGTGTGGACAGATTTAATATAACTTGTACATTTTGGTTTGTGTGTCTGTATGTGTGCTTGGGGCAAGTTCTGCACCATGTGAGGGATTTAGAAAGATGAGCTTTTCTCTCACTTCTTTCTCCAGGGTGGTCTCATTTGCACAAACCTACAGAGAAATTCGTTTTACCATAAAAATGGAAACACGTAGGCTGAATATAACAGCTCACTCCAGCTGATGGAAGCAGCTTCTGTATATATGTTCCTTCTTCCTGATGTCATGTGGTATCGCCACGTCTATCGCTACGGCCATCTTCTTCTGTTTGTCTACCACCACTATGTCCGTCTGTATCTGGAAGTCCCACAGGAACTTAGTTCTCCCATTTTGACCTCGGGACTTCCAGGTTATACTCGGCACAGATGTTCCTGTACACTATGCCGGCCACTTGGTTATGGCGTTCCATGTATGCCTTGCCTGCTAGCATCTTGCACCCTGCTGTTATGTGCTGGATTGTCTCTGGGGCATCTTTACACAGCCTGCACCTGGGGTCTTGCCTGGTGTGATAGACCCCAGCCTCTATGGATCTTGTACTCAGAGCTTGTTCTTGTGCTGCCATGATTAGTGCCTCTGTGCTGTCTTTCAGTCCAGCTTTGTCCAGCCACTGGTAGGATTTCTGGATATCAGCCACCTCCTCTATCTGCCGGTGCAGTGCCTGTCCTTCCATGATGGTTCCTCGTCTCCCTCCTCTTTCTTGGGTTTCTGCTGCCTGAGGTATTCACTGATAGATAAAATATATATATATATATATATATATATATATATATATATATATATATATATATTTTAGATATATATATATGTATATATATATACATATACATACATACTGCCAAGAGAAAAAAGAGAGCTGCCAAGAGAGATGAGACTGACGGTGGCAGTTGGTCAGATTCTATCTTTCTCTGTTATACAACTATACATATAACTGATGCACTTTAATGGCTTTTACTGGATGTATTTAAATGCTCTGTTATATTTTCATCATCCCTGTGGGAAGCTTCTTTGTGGTCACGTTGTATCTATTGACATAATGACGTTATATCTTTGTACATATTGACTACTATCCACGTTGTTAAAAAGTAAAATCATACCTTTCATTGAGTCTCTGGTTTGTCTCAGGCTTTTGCGTGTTTTTTCGTTGCAGTTGCGTTCCTCTGTGGTGTGGTTGCTTTCAGCCTCCTCTTTTATTTTATTGCATCAAGTTGTCTAAGAGCATGTGCTAAGATATATAATCATTTTCACCCAGGTAGTAAATAAGATTTGTTACATGTGTAACAGTGCTCTTATGTGGAGTAACAAGTGAAAGGTCCCCGCAATACAACTAGCTCATTTATGTCTATTCAAGCAAGCCTCTTCTTCAATTGTAGTGACTGTTACCGATGGCTGATTTATTATGGGCTCCATTCCAGTTAGCACTGGGTCCACTGGTGCTAGTGGATAAGAATCCCCCCAGCTGTGCAACCTGTCAGTGAACACAGTGCAATCACACACACTCAGACACTAAATCCTTATTACCTTGAGACCCACCTCAGGGCTGTGTCCACAGCAATCAGCAGTGGCCCACCGTCTGCTGATTCAGCTTGTACTGACTTACTGGTGCTGGAGACGTGTGTGTATGTGCTGGGTTTGAGCTGGCCTGTGGAAGCACCTAAAAGGCAAATACTATGCAACTGCGTTATTGTGCTGCGAGCTCTTGTTCTCCAAGCCAGCATTAATTGCCTATTTACAACGTCCACAGCAGGACGGAGTGCTGAACTGCATTATTAAACACCAGCTTTCACAAAACTATTATCAATCACGCTCTCGTGTGTGTCTGTGCATGGTTAATTGCACATAGCGTGTGTAAAGGCATCCCTCCTTTCTGTCTAGCATTCCCTTTGGTGTTTGAAGGTCATTGCTGTCTGCTGGGGCTCGTTACGCTAACAAGCACCGGCTCACTCCCTAGGGCTCTGTCAAAGGATTCATGTGAACAGAGGATTACACGTCTCTTACAGGGATCCAGGCCGTGCTCAGTTCCAGCCCCATCACACCCCATTCTTCAATTTTTAAGCAGGATTTGAAAAAATCAAGAGTCTCCTTTTCAGTTTTTTGCTTTGATGCTCTTGTGACGGAGGACGAGAGAGGCGAGGACACGCCCCTCAATCAGTCCTGATGGAAAGTTCTCCGCAACAGGAAAAATGAATCACTAAATAACATTCATAATAATAATGATGATGACACTGCAACGACATCTTCATCAGATATTGTGTACACGGGCTACATGTTTGCAGTCAACACATTTGTTAGATGCTGCAGATGAGCAAATATCCATTGTGACATTATCAGCTCTGCACAGCAGATTTGCAGCATGTCCAACGAGCACACAGACACACACCCTCATAAAGTGTAGGTCTAACAGGACAACGGTGTTTATCTGGCTTCTGATCCTGAATCGTTAACCAATAACTGATCATTAATTAGAAGCCACGCCCTCCATGTCATGCGCAAAACTGACAGCATCACAAAACTGTTCGAAATAGCATCTCTCTGTGGTCCAGTTGCTGCACTTTGTAGCCATTTAGTCTCTTTCTTGCATCTCTTTGTGGCAGAACTTTGTGGTTGTGTTCATATTTACTTCCACTGCTCGTTGCATCTCCACTGTTTTGTTCATTATTTCATCATCATTTCATCGTTGCGTTGTCTCTCTTTGTGTGTTTTGCAGCAGGTTTTTTGTGACTTTGTCTGCAATCACATTGTGTCTCTCAGTTTTCTTTTGGAGTATTTGATGTCTTTTGTGTCTCTCTGGTAATTTTGTCTTTTTCATCCCTTTGTTCCTCTTTATTGCAGCACCTCTGTCTTTCTGGGACTTCCTCAGCCTCTGAGCCCTGTGGCCTGTGTGCAGAAGGCCTGTGGACCATCCATTTCAAACATACAGCGTATATAAAACTGTGTGTTTGACTGCTTTGTTTTCATATAATTATAATAGTTCTTAACCCATAAGAAGTCTGTGGTGTTTAGAAACAGGTCTGGCTATTATTTTAACCCCTGATCAGTTGAACAGGATCAGTGTGCTTTAAACATACTCTGTTGTCCACGTATAATCCTACTTTGTTGCTTTGTGGTTGGCAAACATGCTGTGAAACCTGATTCACAGATGGAAACTCGCCGTAGAAATGAATGTACATCTCTTGTTATTCTCATCGTTAGCTTTCCTGATGGCAAGAACACGCGTTCATCCACGAACACGAGGCAGATGACGTGCAGAACAAAGTGCTATTAAACCCTCGGCTTTCTCGTTAGCGGTTCCTTTCCTTTCCTGTTGATCCTGCGCCGTTCTTGTGCGCTTTTGCGTCCAGAGTAATTGGAGAGAGTGTGCTGGCCGAGGCAAAGTGTTGCGCTGGCTGCTCCCACTGAGCCGGTGCCAGCAGCTACTGCTCTGTATCGAGTTGTATAAAGAGCTGAGATCCAGCCAAATAAACACTGAACTGTGGCTTTGCCCTTGGCATATAGTCACTGCTCTCATTATTTATCCCTGTAGCTTTCTGCTTGCCACTTGCAGCAGTTGGTTGTTCAAGGTGATGCTTCCACATGTGGGATATTCAAGGAAGGGAGTAAAAAATAAAGGGAAGCTGGGATTTAATCTTTCATCAGTCAAAGGATAACAGCCCCCTTGGATGTAGACAGACTCGTGTTCAGTGTGAGGAATAAAAGGCGTTACTATTGTGTAATTACCACATGTGGCCACAGTCACCGCTGCTGAGCAGCTATGAGCTGAGATCACAGACTGTATAGAAAGGATGGATGGACGCTTGGAGCCAGCCTCAAGTGTCGCCTCCACGAACAGCTGGCGTTCTCACACTGATAGCTGCATGAAAAATAATCCAAGCCAAACGATATGTTTTTATATAGGATGACGTGTGTTCTGCACTGCATGCTGTCAAAATGATTGCTGTGTCAGAACAGCTGCAGTAAGTCTGAATGTCCTCCGTTCTTACTGGAGCATCATCTGTTTTCCAGTCATGCGGAGGAACCCCTTCATGGTGGAAGGCTGCTGTAGGAAAGGATCCCGCAATGCCCTGCAGGAGCTCTACAACCCCACACAGGTAGGACACTGTCCCACTTCCATAAGCGCCCTTGTCATCTCCTTATCACCACCTGCATCTGTTTTCACATTTGTATTTTACTCCAGGTTTTCGCCTGAAGAAGGCGGTGGAAGAAGGCCTATATTTGTTTTTGCCTGCATGTTTAGAAGGCAGATTTTTTCTTTTCTAACTGTTGGTGCCCACAGGACTGATGCTCAGTCTTTACCTGAGGAAACAGCTGACTGCTTGTGAAAGCTCAGCATAATGATTGATTCTCCGTCTCTTGGTCAGGAAATGTTGCCGGCCTCAGGTGATAAGTCATCCCGATTGTATCATAAATGAGAGCAGACAATAAATCACAAGAAAGGACAGAGGTTTTTCTCAGGTCTCACAATTTACCCTTTTCAAGGACAGTGAGGAAATGACAAACTCCTACTAGAAGCTCTTTTCTGCAGCATTTTTTCATATCGCATAAACAGCGAGACTATTACAGTGCTGTCATGTCTGTCCCAGCCAGTGAAACCTTGCTTCATCTCATTTTTCACGATTTAAAACGCTTTACAGGATGACGACCATCTGACCGCACGCTGCCTGCTATAACAGTGTGATTGCCAGCATGAAATGAAAGCATATAATGTGATGCCATTTTAATGGCTCGAGTTTTACTGGACAGTTTACAGTGAAGAGACTGACGCAGGAAAAATCAGAAGGAGATGCAGACACAGGCCTCAGCCTCGTCGGTTTATGCTAACAATTAAAGAAGCAAAGGACATAAAATAGAGAACACCTACCATATGAATGACTTTAAGAGCAATGGCTGGGATAAAATCAAATGAATCAAACCATATCAGTGGTTTTGCACATTACTCCTGAGCATATGCTATGTTTGCTACGATTTCCTATCACCCAGAGAGCTTTTTAATTCAAGGGTAAAAAGAAGCTTTGGCAGCACTTTAAATGTAGCTGCCAACAGTGCTGCGTTCATAAGCTATACTGAACTGAAGGGGGACCAGAGAAAAGCAAATGTTTTAAAAGGATGGCACTAACAAAGTCATTGCTAACTTTAATACCATGTATAGAATATTCTTATAGGTTTTATATTTCATGGAAAAATGAGTCTAGTGAAAACTGCAACAATCTGTGCCCAGTCTGTTAATGCTCACAGAAGAAGGATTTGGCAGTGATGGCTATTATTTTGACCTGAAAAGTCTAAAATTCTCCCATAAAGTAGAAAAAATAAATAAAGTTCAGCACTCGGTCTAGTTCAGTTTGTCCCTCTCAGATGAATCTTCACTTGTGTCGGTGTGCTGCTTCAAACACACGGTTACAAAATGCTCCAGTTTGGATAAACATGCATTAAAGCGAATGCAGCATACAGATAAAGTATGACCGGAAAAATGGATGCAAGATGAAAGGAAATGCTAACATACAACAATGTGTTTCATTTTAACGCATTCAGCCAACCTGATGAGCTGAGGAGGGCTGCTGCAGAGTTCAGGCGCTGCGTCCTGAAAGGTGTGGTCACCTCTTAGTTTAAAATAACAGCGTGCTGCAGTCAAAAGGTTACTATCAAATATCAGAGAGACGAGTCGTCAGTTGGTCCAAATTATTAGGTACCACTATAGGATTGGTCTATGCAGTGTTTCAGGTACAGCAGACATCCTTACACAGACGTGCATGTACACAGAACTGAGTGCAGCCAGGTTGGTGCTGGACGTCACACTCTGTCAAGCTGAACCCTGCATGTCCTGCCAGCAAGAGGAACTGACCCTCTTTTGATTGTTCCCTTTGTGTAATACCAGAGCCTCTACAGTGTAGGGCCGAACAAGATGAACAGCTTGTGTGGGGAGGCGCAGGCGCGTGTTTGGAGGCGAGGTCCCACGCCTGAAATTCAGATACTTTATCTCCAATTAGAATTCGAGTGTTTTACCTTCTTGGAATGTAACTTTTTATCTGGACGGTGTATCATCAATATGTTTAGTTTTCATGAGAAAACTGGAAACTACAGCATGTAAAGTAGGCCGTAGGTGAACCAGCGAGTGTGGCTGCACAGGTATGAGTCTTCTTGACTTCAAACAGCCTGCATCAGAGAGGGGAACGTTCAAAGAAACCCTGCTTGCTGTGATAATGAAACTGTGCCTCGATGTTCACTGTGATGGATTACCAATCTCAAGCAAGTGAGCTGAAACCAATGAGTGCCTCGAAGGTAGAAAATCAATTCAACAACTTAATGTTCAAAAGATGGTTGAAAGGATGGAAAGTGTACACGTTTTGCAGTATCAACTAAATCAGGCACATTTTGGAGCACTGTGGAGATGCACATTTTGTGCAGCTGTGGCTCTCGTGGCTGAGCGCGACCTGCCAGCAGTGCAGTCACTGAGGAGAGGAGCATGACAGGAGGACACTGCTGGAGGTGATGGTGATAGATTGGATAGTTGCTGCTCCTCTTCTGTTCTCTGATCAATGTCCTACCATCTATCACTTCCTGTCTGCATGCCTCTTTCTTCTGCCGCTAACCCCGACAGTGTCTTACCTCACGCTTCCTGTTGTCCTTTATTCACTGTGTTCTGCTGCGTGCTGTCTCAGGCTGTCCCTCATCCTCTCCCTCTCTCCGTTTCCATTTCACTGTTGGCCATTTATCACCCAGGACCTTTTAAAAGCATACCGTAGGAATTTAAACGGTTTGCTGGACAGCTAAGATTAGACCAGGTGCACATGGGCCCGGCGTTAGTTGATTTTCCCTGGATGATTTTTCCCACTCATGTGAAGCACCATTGATATATTTCTATGTAGAGGAGGCTTCTAGTGCAGCTAGGGTAAATTTTAGCAGGGTGCTTGGGGTCAGTGGTCAAAGAGAGGTGTGTGTGTGTGTGTGTGTGTGTGTGTGTGTGTGTGTGTGTGTGAGTGTTGTGTGTCTTTGTGTTTGTGTGTGTGTGTGTGTGTCTGTGTGTGTGTGTGTGTGTGAGTGTGTGTGTGTGTTGTGTGTGTGTGTGTGTGTTGTGTGTGTAGTGTGTGTCTGTGTGTTGTGTGTGTGTGTGTGTGTGTGTTTGTGTGTGTGTGTGTGTGTGTGTCTGTGTGTGTGTGTGTGTGTTGTGTGTGTGTTGTCTGTCTGTCTGTGTGTGTGTGTCTGTGTCTGTGTGTGTGTTTCTCTTTCTGTGTGTGTGTGTGTGTGTGTATGTGTGTGTGTGTGTGTGTGTGTGTGTGTCTGTGTGTGTGTGTGTGTGTGTGTGTGTGTGTGTGTGAGTGTGTATGTGTGTGTGTGTGTCTGTGTGTGTGTGTGTGTGTGTGGTGTGTGTGTGTGTGTGTGTCTGGGTGTCTGTGTCTGTTGTGTGTCTGTGTTGTGTGTGTGTGTCTGTGTGTGTGTTGTCTGCGTGTGTCTGTGTGTGTGTGTGTGTGTGTGTGTGTGTCTGTTTGGTGTCTGTGTGTCTGTGTGTGTGTGTGTGTGTGTGTGTGTGTGTGTGTGTGTGTGTGTGTTGTGTGTGTGTCTGTGTGTGTGTGTGTGTGTGTCGGTGTGTGTGTGTCTGTGTGTGTCTGTGTGTGTGTGTGTGTGTCTGTGTGTGTGTGTGTGTGTGTCTGTGTGTGTGTGTGTGTGTGTCGTGTGTGTGTGTCTGTGTGTGTGTGTGTGTGTGTTTGTCTGTGTGTGTGTCTGTGTGTGTCTGTGTGTGTGTGTGTGTGTGTGTGTCTGTGTGTGTGTGTGTGTCTGTGTGTGTGTGTGTGTCGTTGTGTGGGTGTGTGTGTGTGTCTGTGTGTGTCTGTGTGTGTGTGTGTGTGTTTGTCTTGTGTTTCTGTTGTGTCTGTGTCTGTGTGTGTCTGTGTGTGTCTGTGTGTGTGTGTCTGTGTGTGTGTCTGTGTGTGTGTGTGTGTGCGTCAAGTGAAAAACAGAATCATAAATAGAAATAAATGTAAGACTGCTATAAATATGAAAACCTCACTTTGTGCTTTTAGTGCATCTGTAATCCACTTTTACAAAACATAAACTTTGCGAGCAGCAGCCTACACGCTGGCTACACAGCGACCTCATGCAGTCATTCACAGTAGCAGGTTTACGCAGACTGTAGGCGTGTTTCCATCCACCTGTTTTTATTTTTAACTGCTGCATGATAGAAACGATAGAAACGAAATGCAGAAAATCTAATGAAACTTCAAAATATTGGAACCAGTTTAAATAGGTGGCATCCTTGCTAGTGAACAACATCATGTCTCTATATACGGTATTAATCATGCATACAGCAACAGGGTCCATGTCCTCAGGCCGTTCTGTCAGCAGGGCCGTGCTGTCTGAGGTATGATTCATGTGACTGGCAAACACAGCCTGCACACACCAGCATCACTGCTGACAGGCCTGCAGCTTTACTGTTATTATTTGCATGTAGAGATTTACTCATATTCATATCTATAATTTCCCAGCGTCACTTTTAATACACAGCTCCAGAGTTTATTAAACAAAAGTAAATGAAAGCTTCCCGTGCAGTATTCTCATTTACCCACTCAGCTCCTCGCAGCCCTTTAATATGCTACTCTGTAATAATCTGCACTCCTCTCTCTCCGCGCCGCTCTCTTCTTTTGGATGTTTTTGCTTTCAGCTAATACATGCTCGCTGGTTTTCTTACAAAAAAGCTCACTTTAAATAAATCTGAAGTCAAGTGTTTAATTCAGGGCTTAACTTCCCTCTTATTGAGCCCTGGAGGCGCAGAAGGCGGGAGCTACAAGGTCTCGCTTAGACTTCCAAAAGCCCAATGACACCCTCGTCTTTGTGACTTGAACCTGTGTGTTTTTAGAATACATTATATTAAAGCTAAGCTCTGACTCCTCAGAGATAGTTTCATTAACCACAATTTAAATCAGATGCTGAATGTAATTAAGTAATTTAACGTGGCCACATGTGGTCAGATTACATCTAAATACAGTAAAGAAACCTGCTAATGATCCTTCTTCCTTTTTATCCTCCAACCAGCAATGACAGGCTGGCTCACAGAGGCAGTTATAACAGATTATACCAGCTCACTCATTAATGCTGAATC